GTGTCCGTCCCTATCCCCTCCACCAATTTTTAGAATCGAAAGTATCTCGCTGCACGCTACCTTACCGACCTGTCCAAGGCAGCGTTGCACGAACCTCGTGAAACGTGAAACACTGACACCAACGGAGAGAGCGAGTAATGCCGATATTTCGGCACAATTTGCAAAATAATGCGCTTGCCCCACGTCAGTGGACGCTCGAAGCGAGCGCTACCTGTGTACATATAAATACATGTGTAAGAGAACGAACGATGCGTTGCGTTGCGAACGCGTTACACACCATACACACACACACACATACACACACACACACACACGGTTCTGTCGCCGCGTAGAAAGAGAGAGAGAGAGAGAGAGAGAGTGTGTTTTAGCTTCGATTTTGAATTTTCTCGATTAGATAGACGATGACATTTTGTAATTTTATATGTCCGGTCCGATGATACGATTGTACGATATGTAAATATGTATATCGAGAAACTATGTCTCGCCTCGTGTAAAATAGATACGTGTGTTTGTCGCGTAATGATGAAGAGGGAAGGAAGGAAGGAAGGAAGGAAGGAAGGAAGGAAGGAAGGAGGAAGCGAGACAAACGAAAGGCGCAATTACGAGTGAGAAAAGAAATACGACAAAAGCCTTTGCGATCAGCTTTCCACGATACTGTGAACCACGACACACTGGTTGCACGCGTGTCGTAAACTTAACTGTATACTTGATTTATTTAAATCATGTGAATAAATTTATAAAATACGTTATATTACACGTTTGCGAGCATACAAACCACCCTCCCCCGATTCTGCGACCGTTTCCCCGATCCGCGCCAGTACCCCCGGCAAAAATCGAAAGTACGCGTTCGCTCGCGTGTCACGACACGCGTAAAAACACCGACACGTATGTGTACAACGTAGCACGTTACTCGCAAAGTAGGCCTCGCTCTTTCATTCTCAAAGTTGAATTTCTTTTTTCTTTTTTTTTTTTTTTTTTTTTTTTTTTCCCCCTCGTCACACATCGATCCGACGAGGAAAACTTTTGCTCGAACCCTGTTTTTTCTCTTTTTTTTTTTTCTGTTCCACGTTTTCGTCAAACGTCGTTTACGAACGTACATCATTTTTTTTTTTTTTTTTTTTTTTTTTTTTTGCCAGTGTAGTATCGTTCAAACAAATGCGAACGAGATACAGGCCGAATTGATCGTACGCTTGTTTTTCAAATACATATTCCATCCCACGTTTGATCGGAATATTTGCAAATATATTCCATGGAAATGACCTGTGTGTGCAACGGTGTGTGCGTGTATGTGTGTATTGTTTGTCGCATAGTCGGCGTTGTCGTTACATACGTGTACGTACGTACGTGCTCTATATACATATACATATATATATATATATGTATATGTATATGTATATGTAGATGGCGAACGGAACATTGATCCTAGTCAGCGCCACCGCGCACTCACTGCACACCATCGCTGCACACTTACATTATTAATACGGCTAAAGCTCACGTACCACCACCACCACAGAGAGGCGGCAGTGTTTCTATTTGGAAAACAATACGATTCTTTTTCTCCGCGAACGGACGGTTGCGTTGTCTGATGGACGCGCTTTTCTCGATACATTTGTGGCTCCGAGCCACTACGAGATTTCCGTAAATCGGCGCTGCATCTGCATGCAGTTTCTGGCACACACACACGCTTCTGACGTTTTTCGCGTTCGATCGCGTCTCCGCCAACGACTCGACCAGTCCCCTAAAGTTTCGAGTTTGCCGGGAAACTTTAACGCACCATCAACGTGGTTGATGGTCGCCTCGCTAATATCTGGCTGACAGTCGAGTCGAGTCGAGTCAAGTTGGATCAGACCATCCTTTGAATTGCTTAAAGGCAAGAAACACGAACTTTTATCAAGTTGACGAATCGAACAACGATGTAATGATAGTAACGATGATGACATCGGTCAATTTTCGAATTACTTTGTAGCATAGAATTGCATAGAAATGCTAATGTGTAACACGATGGGATTTGGTAAAAGTAACAAAACACCAAAGTAAATTCTCCAAATTTCTAGTTTGTCCATTTCTGAGGGATGCGGAAAAATAGGTAAAGAAACTTTCAATCTTGCACAAGCATGACATTTGGCGCGAAGCGAATTTGACTGGGAATAAAAAAGAACAGCGAAGCGAATTCGTGGTGCCGGTCTCGTGGATTTACACTCGGCGTGTTAAACGTTCGAACGACGGCGACCTGATATGGACGATTCGCGATGCGATTTCAGTTGACAGGGAAGAGAGTTGAGCAGCCCGAAGTTTCAAAGTTTCAAGCGCATAGTTGTTTGTTCGATACGTGGAAATCTGTCTCTTTCTCGTTTAGCGTCTGTCGTTCGTCGATTCGTTTTCCTCTTTCTTTCATTCGACGCGAGCAGAATCGTATTTCGCAAAATACAACTTCCGCGGTGCTCCGGTAATCGAGTGGTGCGCTCTCTCTCTCTCTCTCTCTCTCT